AGTGAGAAATCACCCCTTTGGGGGATGGCCACACTGCAATCCCTTCTCTTCCATTCTCTCAGGATCTTGGGCACACATGCACACATGCCCGGTGTGAGTTTAAGCCAGCCGGTCTGGGACTCGAACTGCGGTTGACTACATGGGAGTTCAGCGACATAGCCATTATGCCAACTGCTGGTCCCTAGACACCCATTTTTTAAAGTGAGGGCAAATGAAACACTCAAGACTTTATATTTCATTCCAAATGCACAATTGATTTTCTAAAAATATTAGAGAAAATGAGTGTCAAGAACTTACTGTTCATGCATTATGCAAATTTCTCAAAACATACTGCATACCCATTGTTTATTCAGTCCATGCACAATACAGAAGACTTGCTATAAGACTAGCACACACTTAATGTAGTTGTTTATTCAAGTGTGGGTTTGTTTCAACTTAAGATGACAGTACCAAGGCACTACCAGCTGAGCGAACCTGCAACTGTATCTCAATTACTGTCTATGTTTCAAATTTTCCCAAGAATAACCTAATTTGGGAAGGATTCCTGGTTTTCCCATGTAATCATCTCCTTTACACACCTCTAGTGGAGTCTATGCAGAAGTAGATACAACTGAGATTAGAATGCACAAAATAAAGCCTGTTTTCCCCAACTTCATCCTTTACACTGAAAGGAACATGACTGATGAGATTCCCTGTCAAGGGCAGCTAAATGTTTACCATATAGTTGCTCAAAACTTTCATCAATGAATTGGTTAAAATGGATGTTAAAAAGAAAAAAGAGAAGACCAGCATTTGGCATGGTGGTTAAGGGGCTAGAATCTCTCAGGGCCAACTGCAACTGGAGTCCTGGACATGGCAGCTTGAAAATCACACTGGCACATGTGTGTATGTGCTCAAAATCCTGAAAGAAGAATGGAGGAGAAGGGACTGTGTGCTCATACCCCCTTGGGGGTGATTCCTCACTTTCCCTCTCTCCTTCTCTCTTCTCTGGTAAGCACACACACCCTATGGCAAAATAAATAAATAAATACATACATAACTAAAAAAGGAAGAGAGAAAGAAAACAAAAGGTTTCCTCCCTCCCCAGTTTCCCTAGAGTTCAGAAGAAAGTAACACATCCTGCTCCACAGATAAGACTGCAAATGAACAACTGAGCTATATAAAGTGCAGTCCTTACTGGGCAGCGTTTTAAAAAATAAAAGAAGTCCTTCCAACTCCAGTTAATGCACTAGATACAAAGAGAACAAGTTTCAGCAACAAATATATTCAGGACTTGATTTTTTCACAGAGTAACTGTAATGAAGGCTCTGACCATAGGGGGAAAATTATTTTCCAGGATATTAAATGTTCTGACTCACCATTAACAGAAGTACAAGCAAAATACAAATGCAAATTAAATGTATACATATTTATGACTCTACCGACTGTACAACAGGGCCACCTTTGGCTTCTGGCTTTATTTACCAGGAAGAGCAGCTTAGAAAACCAGGACACTTGTGTGTTTCTATACCAACAGTCCCTTCTCTGGAAGCATTGATTGGAGCAAAATATTAATTTTGAGTCTGACTGTACATAAGCCAAGGGAACCATACATCATAGATAAAAACAGACATTTTCTCCTTAATGGTATCTGTTTGGACAAGAAAATGTAAAAATAGAAATACTAAACTATATTCAAATATGCTCTCTAATAATTATTAGCAACACATGTTTTCTGTTACCCTCTATGATTTCTAAAAGTTAAAAATGTATCTTCACCATAGAACTCCTGGTAGTCTTGAATTTGAACCTTTTTAAACATTTCTGGTCCCATCTGTGTGATTATACACAAGTCAACCTAAGTTTCAGTTTTTATATCCATAAAAAGGTATGCATCTCTAAACTAGTTAATATTTGAATACTATAACAATAGGAATCATACCTCAGTCCTCATTATAAATGTCAGGATCTGTTCATGAAATTTAAGACCCATTGTACTCTTTGTCATCATTCTTCTCAACATAAAACCCTACTTTTCTGTATTTAGGAAGGAAGGGGGAAAAGAAAAGAGGACCTTTAAAGAGAACAGAAACCAGGTTGGTTTTGTTAATTAGGTTCCCCCTCTGAAACCACGAGTCAGTATTAGCATGTGCTGAAATTTACTCGGTGCCCTGTTTTAAAAGGAGTGGTTGGTTTCTCCACCTCAAGATACACTGGTTCATAAAATGGTAAAAGTCAATTTCTAGGAATCTGACAATCCAGCTACACAATACTAACATCTAAAAGGAGGCAAGCCAAAGATGATGACATAGATGGCACGAGTCTCTTATCCATACTGAGGGGGGAAGAAAAAACCCTTTCTATGATGTGGTCAGCAAAGGGAAGGACAATGAGCCTCCATGCCTGCCTCGTTCAGGAGGCACACGCTGTAGGTAAGCTATCTTACTCATTGGGAATTCACGTGGTGAGATGTTTCCTATGTTTCTCGCCTATGTTTTCCCTCTGAATGTTTTTATTCACTTCATTCATTAATTCAACAACAATGTATTGAGTGCTTACTCTATGATGCTTAAAAAAGGAAAAAAGGTTTGACTTCATTTTTAGGATATTCAAGTAAATCCTGGTATGTATCTGAGAGTCCTTCAGCTGCTCAAACTATTTTCAAATCAAATACTGGTACAAAACAATACAGATGTTAAGCTAATGTGCACTTGTCATTTTCTTTCCCTTCACTAAGGGACACATGGCGAAAGTGGGGAGGATGAAATTAAAGGTAGAATAGGTATTGGGTTGTTGGAAAAGTCAGGACACATTTTGCATCTATTTAAAAAAAAAAAAAGGTCATGATTTTTCTGGTAGCCCAATAATTAGCTAAATCCCTTAGTAGAGATTGAGTAAAAAACGTTTTTCTCCCCTAAAGGCGATGTTAACGCTGGGCTGTAACTACCAGAGTAGACAGCACAGCATGCTAGGCAGGAATGAAGAACTTCATTTAATGTGAACATTTTGTTTTCTATCTGAGAGACTTGAGACTTGCTGGGGATGTGATTTGGTCCAGGTCCCACAAGGAAGTACAGTGCTAGAACTAGAGCCCGGGTCACCAGCCAGTAGGCTGAATGGCCCCTAGTGTACCACGGCATCCACGACACAGCCTCCCGATTATCAGCCGTGGATGTGGCATAATGCAGAAAGCAATGGACCAGACAACCAGCCGAGTTCAGTCTTGTCAACTCCGCTAAGTTAACAGAATACCACAGAAAATTCCTGTCATTTGTCTAAGCCTCAGTTTCTGCACCTGTAAAATGTGAACGGCAATTCATGAACCTATCCAGACCCCCATGAAGGCAGGACCCTGGCCATTGAAAAACATAAAACTTTATACAGCCACAGAACCAGCCCTGGGTTATAACAGAAAACCTAGCCCAGTCACCTGTTACCCTGATCAACATCACACTGGTCCTGGAAATACGAGCTAGTCTTTGCCCCACCTTCCTTAGAAATAGTTAGAAGCACGTGAATACTGAAAGACGGTCATAAATTGGAAGGCGCTGATGCAAGTGTAAGGCATTATTATTACATCCCCTGGTCTTTTTGAATTTAGACAAAAAGATGATGTGCTGTATCAGTGACTCCTTGACAGCTTCCCTTCCCAAGTAAGACGTCATCATATATCGACCTCTGACCATCTATCACATAGTCCTCAGTCAGTTGCTGTAGGCAGAACCCGGGCTTTCTTTAGCTCAGGGATGCTGCTAAAGCTTACTCAAATTCATGCTGGCACCAACCAGGCTGGGGAAGATCTTTGCTAGGGTCTCCGTTCAGCTGGGAGTGCCCTGACAAAAGCTTCCATGAACACTATCCACTTTGTCATAGCAGAGTTTTAATGAAACTAACCTGGCTTTTTTTTCCACTCCAAGAACCGCAGAACATTTCAGCCTCTCTACAGAACAAGGGAGAAGTTCTAGTTGTATGCGCCTCATCAGTGGACTGAAGGGGGTCCCCAAACCAATAATTCAGGGGGACTGATGCAAGGAATACGTCTTCCTTGCACGAGAAAACATCCCGAAGCCCCAGCGGTCCCTTAAGGGTCCTTCACGTTAGACTTAGGGCCTCCAGCGGTCTCCGAATGTCAGAGAGAAGTGGTGGTGGGCGTTATTTTTTTGTCTTCCAACACTCCCTTTAAAAGCATCAGAATAACAAGCGATTTCTTGTTCGGAGCCCTGATTTCAGTAGATGAGATGAAAGAATTCATGAGCCTACCCAAACAACTTCTCTGGAACAGGTTCCTACCCAACCATGCCGGGCAGCAGAGACTGGAGAGCTGGGGGATCGGAAATGACAACACGCTCATCTGCATAGATGAGAGATAAGCAGACATTTGTTGTCTTCTGTTCTGGCGACTCCTGGCACCGGAGTGGCAAATCAAACCTGAGCGTTCTGCCTCTCCATTGCCCCCACGCTCCCACCCTCCTCCCCAGATGTGGAAGCGTCACGCTGACCCGGCTCCGGGAGAGAGCCAGAGACACGCAGAAGTCAGTTACTGCAGTTAGGCTGAACCGTACCGCACCTGTTCAATCCGGCTCCGGCGCCAGAAATGACCAGAATACCCACTCGAAAGCCCCTCTTGACATGCCGGGGCACCTCACAAGTTCGCCGCTGTTTAGTACCGGGGAAGGGTGGTGGGGCCACCTCTCCTGCTGCTGCCAAACTCTGTGGGTTCCCCTGAAAAGGGGAGGGGGCTCCTGCTTAAGTGACCAGAGCGATCTGCGAATGTCACTGTGGCCCCAGGGTTCCGGGTGGCGAGAGGGTGGGTGCCCGCGGAGAGCACGCAGCTGTGGCCCTCGCGGAACGATGGTCCCACTTCGGTGGCCACGGGCGCCCCCTCCACGTCACCCCAGCACAACGCGAACAAAGTGGGAGCGTAGACAGACTGCCAGGATTCATCTGAGACAGAGTGCCCCCCAGCGCAAGCCCCTAAAGAGGGTCTAGAGGGGAGGGACTGGGACGCGCAGGAAACTTACCTCACCCGGGCAGCATTCGGAGCCTCCGCTGCCGAGACCAGTTGCGCCACAGTCCGCAAGTTACCGGGATGTTGCCGCTTCCCCTGGCGTAGAGAGAGCAGTGCAGGCGAGGGGCGGGAGGGTCGGCGGGGCGGGGCCCGGGCTGGGGGGCTGCGCCGGGGGAGGCAGGTGCCTGGGCCGGAGCAGCGGGATCAAACTCGCCCCGAACGCGCCTCGGCGGGGGCGC